ACGTAACAGTCGCCTTTTTACATTTTTTGTTCTATCTTCGCCATTTACAGTAGGATCTTAAAGTACGATAAATCAATCTTCTAGTCTCGTGGAGGTAATTCTGTTTGATGGAAATTCATTGACCTCAAGTACCCCGTTATAGTACTTACCCACCAGATCTCAGTTCTTATCACCCTAACGTACCACCCTAATGCCAGTAACTATTTATTAAAATAAATAAATGTGTTTCCGAAAAATGTAAAAAGCAGACTCCTAGGTTCTGGCAAATTGTTTTATTTTTTTTTTTTTTGAGAAATTGCCTTGCAAAGAGCTGTTTTTTGTTTGCTTGTAAGTTGTCTACTGAACAATCAAAATTTTTATGAAATATTTTGCGAACTATTGCGTTATTTTCGTAACTCGTTCAATCGAAAGTTAGTGTTTTTTGCGACCAAATCTGTGGATATAATCGATAAATTACATTAATTTTCATTAAAAAAAACTCTTAGTGATTGCATAAGTATACCAAATGTATATAAAACATTAAATATATTGATATGAATAGTTGCATACATATGTATATTTTAGAAAGTTACTAAGGTCCATAAAGGCGAGCTCAAAAAGTGGTTTTAGTCAATAAGTTAGTAATAGTTAACAGAAAAAGAAATCGAGATTTTGGAGAGGTCCTTCATTCCTTCAATGTACTTGAAACTTATTTTTCGTTTTTTTGGAGCAATCGAAAGATTAACAAAATCCAAAATTTTGTTCAAATATGCCGGCAAGAATGAAACTTAAAAAACTACTTTACATCTCAATACTCGATTCAAGTCAAATCGACTCATTGACGTTTCAGGTTTCACCGTATAAACTAGTTAATTGTGGGGAAAACATCAATTATGAAAAATACTAAAGATCATTTAAAAATTGTATCTGTAAACATCTCAGTACGGCTTGACAAAGCACTAGGCGTTTCACTTACATATGTATGTACATATATAAATAAGTTAAATTAGAAATTAAACATTATTAGTTTCATTAGACTTTACTCCTTTCTGTTCGAGTCGCGTGGACTAAAAACTGCCATCGTTTTTAGAAGGAATTCGCTTTCTTATATGCAGGGCGTACTCTTATCATCGTTTTAAGCAGGGACGGTAGTCATTATGAGTAAAATAATTTAAATCAGCATTTAATCATTATTTTATGAGTTTTATTTTTTTCGCTCTAAAATAATAATTATTATTGATTTTTATTTTTTTGCTCAGCGGAAATAATTATTATTTTATTTTTATTTTTTCGATCACAAATAATGATTATTTTATGATTTTTATTTTTTCGCTCAGAGATAATAATTATTATTGAGTTTTATTTTTCCACTTAAAAATAATGATTATTCATAAAATTGAAAAGGCTATACAGACGCAACTTACTGAAATTTTGACCTGAAAATTTCGAGGCTTATTCCTTTATTATGGTGTCGCTCGCTCTGAAAAGGATACGGCGGAAATCGCGCTGGTATCGGTTTTGATTTTTTTGAATGATCATTATTTTATAAGTGAAAGAAATAAAACTCAATAATAATTATTATCTTTGAGCGAAATAATAAAAATCAAATAATAATTACTTTTGAGCGAAAAATTAAAACTCAAATATTAATTATTATTTTTAAATCTTTATTGGTTAAACTCGAAAAATAAAAATCACTGTAAATTACTGTGGGACGTACGAAAACAAATACGTGGGTATAAATAAAATAGTTTTACGACGATTACAACTTGTTGATTTTTTTGGATAAAACTTAAAAAATAATGATTATTTTCCGTCCCTGGGTTTAAGTACTACAAAACCACGTATCAAGATAATGCAAAACCGTTTACGTGGGTTGCCAAAATTGTACAGTATGAACTCTCTTTTATTTAAAACATTTCTCTCTTTAATTTAAAACTTTTATCTCTTTTATAAAGCAATCCCCTTTCAGGCTAGTTTTATAAATCGATAACAATCGATCAATTACGCGCCTTTGCAGAACGACGATACGCGGTTTGTACTTTAAACGACTATGTGTGTATAGGTACATACCTACTAAAATATGAAAAACTTAGCTCCGTAAAAACATAAAGCTACTAAGGATCCCATACATCGTCAGTTATACAAACTTATTATCAATCTAACCTATGCGACCGGTATGGTATGCCATTGTCGTTGGGTGTATATATTTTCAAAAGTTTTATAAAAATGTTATAATTCCTTTGATTGTCGAAATATTTATACACATATCGCATATCAAAATAACGCGAGATTATCATCTCACACGCGGACTAAATTGGTTTCACATTTCTAAAAGGAATAAGAGATTTAGGAGACAACATCAATAACACTGATCTACAAAGAGCGGAAGAGGTTTCGGGAGCTGACTTCTAAAAGACTTTTGTTTTCTTAGTATCAGAATATAAAATTAAAATTATATAGTTTGAATATATCAGCAAAAGAAAAACATGAAATGTTTTCATAGAATTATGTTAATTAAAATAATTAAATTGTTTTCGTTTTTTGATGCTACGAACGAATGTCTAAAAAAAGCGCTTGGATATGATGAAAATCATCTCTTAAATAACTCCAGCTTATAAAAAAGAAAATCGAAATTATTTAATACTTTCACTTCTTCACGATAGTGGAATATAATAAAACAACAAAAAATAAAAACGTCATAATTTTTAAGAACTTGTTACTTATTCTTCCGGTTTTGGAACCTATTTTATTTTACTTTTGGGGTAAACATCCAAAGATAAAGCTTCTTTTATGAATAATTTGAAGATCAGACCCTGATGCTATGGAAAAAATGCTATAAGTATCGGTGACTATTAGTTAACCCGCTAGAAGTTAAGAGATTTGAAAGCGGCTGTGGGATAAGACAAGAGAAATTATTTTTTGTATATTAATTTAATTATTGTATTGGAATCAGCTTACTTGATTTATGTTAGTATATAAGTATAAGTAAGTATAACTTAATAAAAAATATTTTAGTCGGTAAACTGTGCTAACACACTTATGTATATTATGTTAGTAATCAATCAATAAATAAATTGTACCTTAAAATGTCCAACTTCAACAAAACAAGTGCATATGTATGTAAATTGTGTTATCTGTGATTAATCATAGCCGAAGTAAAGTCGATTCTAAAGCAACTTGCAGCTTGTTTGACATATATTGCATTGAAAATTATGCCAAAAACTATCTAACTTTAGTGTCGACTTTATTTTGACTACGAATACGCACCAATGTATTTGATTACACTGTACGAAATGGCAACCATTTTTTGCTTAATGCCAGTTTTTAGATTTTTTTAGACTTCCCTGTCAGGAATTTTGTAATTATTTAACACGTAGTTTAAGCGTACTGGGTAAAAGTCGCGCTCTGGATGCCCAAGTAAATTGAGAGAGCGAGGAAGGCGTTTGTTTTGCAGTCCGTACAGGTAAATCCACAGATTCAAAAGTCGCCAAAGATGTCGATGAAATGAAAAGAACAAAAATTTTTTTTAGCCGTGCAGCAATCCATATAATACGCTAGTGACAGCCTTTTCTAAAGATTAGCTTTCCAATGCTCATCAACAAAAAATAATTATAGTTTTCTGAAATAGAAGGACAATGAACGTATTTGACCTAAAAATTAGACTTTTCGAGCTATTTAACCAAGAAATTTTGCGGAATGGTGGTAGAGGGACTGCACATGGCTAGATACTACATATATTTGGTTAGTTCTGATTACGGAGACCCAGCTGTCGTGGAAACGATTCAAGCTGATCAGCAGAGCTTGGATTTCGATGCAATGCAATCTTTTTTCTGAAGCTTCGGAGGCGTTTCCTAGTTATATAGAAGTTCCATTCGTAGGATTTCATAATTTTTTTTTTACTTTTTATCTTTTTAGCTCTTTCTAATATCCGGACTTGGCGGGAAAAGTGTGCATAAAGAGTAGCTTATATTTCGTAGCAGCTTGGACTCAGTGATCACATTTTCGTACACTCATTTTCTTGAGGAAGCAAACAAAAAAATACTACTTTTTATAGCTCCTGTAGTACAAATCCTTGCGTTTTTTGGTGGAATATTCACGAAAATGGTCTGACTGAGAATAAGTGACATACATATGTTGAGACTTGCCACTCTTTTTATGAATGTAAGCCCTGCAAAATTTATCACATGGTGCATTTACTGGGGTCCGTTTTGAAATTTTTTATCTTCCATATGCTAACATGACACTAGTGAACCCGCAAGGCGTTAAACGCCCGTAAACAGGTAAACGGTAGTCAGAGTTATAAGCGATCCGTATGCCTAACTTCATCTAAACCCGTCCAGCCGTTTCTGCATGAAAAGACGTACCGCATGGTGTCGGTTTTTCATTTCATCAGATTTTAGATCCCCATTTCCCGCTAAAAACGTTCTTTCAGACATTTCAGATCTGATGACCTTCAAGGAAAAGCAACCGCGTATTATAGCTGTATATGGTGCGAACCCTATTCAAAAATACGTTCAAATTAAATTGAAGCGAGGGATATTAATAAAATATGTAAGTAACTTTAAATGAAAGCTTCTCTAGACATTTTTCCCCTAAAAATTCCTAAAATTTATAGGCCGATTAGGGATGGCAACCGAACTTTAATTGTGGTTCCAGCGGCTGAATGGCAACTGCATTTTTATGGTTGCCGCGGATATTTTTATTGAAATAATTTATTTCTTTTTCAACTGTTTCTTCAGCTTATTTGCACTCAAGTCTAAGTTGCTGGTACTAAAAAAATTATATTATCTTCAACTTTATAGCAACTGAGGTTGCATTGCAGCCGACTAAATTTTTCAGTTTTAGGTAATGTTAAAGGATTGTCTAAAGCATTTTTAAATTTATTGAAGGTAATTTTTTGTAGTTTTTAGGTTATCGAAATCCGAGCCCTGGTTATAAGTCAATGAGATTTTTTTTGCGTTTTTACTACATGAATTAAGCTAATTTTTAACCGACTTCACAAAAAGGAGAAGGTTATCAATTCGTCGGAATATTTTATTTTTTTTATGTATGTTACCGCATAACTTTGGACCACGTTAACCGATTTCAATACTTCTTGAGGTGAGGTGCTAACTCACAGGTGGGCCCATACTAATTTGGTTTAAATCCGATCACTGGATCATGAAGAAATTAACGATAATCTTAAATTTTTATATAAGAATTGAAGTCACTTTTGTTTTTTGCTTGAAAATTACTAATTACACTAAAAGTATTGTTCACTGCGCGACTGTACCCCTGTGAACCCGGTAGTATTTGTGCGAACTGCAAATTTCAGCATCCGAAAAATTTGAAAAATTAGGTTTCTGTTTACTTGCTTTTGCTTTTCACCGCAACCGGACTGTATGAAACGGAACAAAGATGCAATAGCAACTTCCGGAATTAAATAATATTAATTCAAAACAAACAGTGAAAATCCAAGGAAATTTTAAAACTTTTTTCTGGGCCAGCGACTAAGGCTAAAATTATAGCAATTTTTGATTTAAATATCCACATCTGTTAACACTCTGATGTTTTATTTGTGTGTGCTATTCTGAAGTTACAAAATATGATTTTATCAGAAGTATGGAAAACGCAGTTCTTTACTTTATCTTTTGAATGCAGATATAATATATAATTTATTTTACTTGCCATGATTTGTAAATGTTCACAAAGAAGTCGTTGGTTTTAGATTATTTTCGATTTCCTTTTCTCTTACATTCTCAGTCTATTACAGTTCAATCATTTGCATTCTGCCACTAATTTTGTTTTGTATTTTCCTATCGTTTAGGTTTCGTTTGAAATACATATATATCTATTTCACTTTTCAATCATAATGTAGTTCTCCGAATGAGGCGATCTGAGCAAGTGAAGCCGCGCTTGATAAAGGATTGTTAGTAAATATGTACATTTTGTCATTTCCGAAAAGGCTGTCACAACGCAAAATGCACGTTTTTTGCAGGAGAGGCGCGCTAAGTTTTAAATTGAGTTGCAGAAACTCTCTCCTTTCACGCAGAAACTACAAAAGATTTTGGCATGAAGATGTTACAACAAAATGAACCATGATATAATCATTTATTTTGTATCATTATCTCAATAATCATGCTTTTTGAGTTGTGACAGTCGTTTAATAATTGAGCGCTACATTTGGATTTTAGTGCAAAAAAAAAGAAATAATTTATATTTACTACACGATTTTAATTAAATTATTGTATGCATAGTATTTGACGCAACGTAGTAAAGTTAAACTTAAAATAGTTAATAGTTTATTTCAGAAGTTTGTTCATATGTATGCATCTAGAGTCAGATAGCAATAATATAAAAAAAAGAACTTGGCATGAGTCTTATAAGTGGTACTCTATAGCTATAAATATACAATCAATGCATGCATGTGTGTTTTTCATATGCATGGGGTGTGTTTTCCTGCGCGAGCTGCGAATACAATCAAAAATATAGTCCCACCCCTTTTGAAGTCGATCGAAAATTGTATATGTATGGAAAATTATACTGTATATGCATTGACTCAAAAAGCATTTGCCAATCTCTCTGGAAATACCCAACTTTTGTATGGAAACTTCGTTAGCTTGTTTAGTTAACTTTTTAAAAATTGTTCGAAATTTTAAAACTTACTCGTCTACTGCATAACTACATTTGTATTTGTAGTTACATAATTTATACATATACACTTGCGTGTTAAATGCTTTTCAATTACATGCAAAATTATTACTCTGTATTTGATTTTAGCTTCACTTCATTTACTAATTAGATGTTCTAATGAATTAAATGTAACGCATTACTTACTAATGCTATTGGCGAGAGCGTTATTGTATACATATGTACTATATATTATGTATATATGTTTTTATGTATGTATATATATGAAGCGCTTTAAGTGCATGTGCGCGCGACACAAAAGTTAACTATCAATTGATGCTGTGAAGGGCAGGGATAGGGACATTTTTAATGTCGATCAAACGTACATATGTATTTACCATTCCTTATTTGTTTAAACTTGTTTGGCCTTAGGCTAGCTTCGAATATGCATACACACAAATCACACCCACAACAACACCCGCCGCAATATAGGTAATTAATGACCTTCGTTTCTTCGCCGCATGCTTGCTTTCCTCCGTTTCGCGCTGTTTTCGCTTGATCTCGTTAACTTTCTGTTCGATGTTGGCCTGTCGTTCGACACGTTTCCGCCGTTTTAACTCATTTTCGGGACTGCTATAAGCGATATGAAACAAACGATGCAAAATTTTAATATTTTACACATTTACAAATACATATGTGTATACATATATGTTAACGTACCCGATCACGAGCGGATTGCTATTGGAGCCATCAGTGCCATTTTGTTTAATTTCCGTTGACAACTCATTACCACCGCCGCCGCCACCATCACTGCCGCTACCACGTTCACTACTTATACTCCGCTTATTAACGGCGTTGGCGTTCTTATCGTCCAAATTGTCATAGTTATAAAGTCCTTCATCATCACTATCGTCATCGTCACTATTATCGTCTTCGTAGAACTCATTTTCATCGCTGTCTGATTCATGTACGCGTTCAAGCGAGGATTGCGAGCGTTGCGGTTGTGGCGGTAGTGGTGGTAGCGGTCTGTTTGACATGTTTTCAGCAGTTTTTTCGTTGTTTATGAAATTATTCAACGCATCCTTGCTGGCATGTTGTGCATTGTCGGTCATGGCGTATAGTTCGTCGTTGAAACTTGCGCTTGCCGGTATTTTTGGTAATGGTTTGCCATGTAAATTCAACGTTAGTGCACCGGCAGCGCTGCAGCCGGCCATTGGCAGTGCTAGGGAATGTGTACGTGGAGGCAGAGGTGGTGGCACATCACCACCAATTGTGCCATACTGATCGTGGTGCTCATTGTCACTGCTATTGATTGGCTCCTCCTTGTAATTCAGAAATTCCTTTAAACAAATGAAGGTATTACATTTTGTGTACGAGTATTTATATGTACATAAATAAATGTTAAATATGAGAAATTCCTTACTGGATCCTTAAGCAATTTGATTCCCTCTATAACTGCCTGATATGAGAAATATAATTGATCTGCAGTCTGTATTAGGCCCATGCGATACCTGCGCAATTCATAGAGCACATCCTGTACAGAAACTTTGCTCTCGCCTTCCTTTTCAATCTATAATTCACGAAAGAAAAAACTTATTAAACTTATAACACAACTATGAAACTACTTTCATCACCAACCAAAACTAGACAGCAGTCAACTAAACAAAAAGTGCCAGAGCGCCCAATTCCAGCGCTACAGTGTACCACTGCGGGCCCCACATCCGCATCGAGTGCACCAGAGTCGCGCACCTGTTTTAAAAATTGTAAAAACGCAACTGGTGAACTGGGAATACCAAAGTCCGGCCATGTTGTATAGTGGAATTGTAATATCTCGCGGCTTGTCTTCGATTCAAGATCTGTTAGCCTAATATGAGAATAATTGAGAATTTTTAATAAGTGCAACACAGCTGAAATTAACTGAACTTACTTGAACCATCTGCGGCAGAAGTTCTGATATTCTTCACAACGTAAAAATTCAACAGTCAAGTTAACTTCATTTAATCTTAATGCATTTTCAGGGCCCTTTCTATCCGGCCAATAGTGATGACATTTGACCTGCTTTTTCTCCATCAATTTGTTCAGCATAAGAATGGCTTTAGTATTTTGTTCCCATACCATCAGCCAAAAGTGGCCAACGGTGTCGACTAGCGGACCTTGTGTTAGAATATATTTACGTTCGGCACGTTCGAGCTGTGCAGAAATATAAAAAAAAAATAATATGTGTACTCTATCTTCTCACATTTGACCTGCTTACCTTAACAAGATTAGCATTTATATAGTCTACACTGCCTCTATGGATGATAATGCGCGAATGATCGTAGGGATTTACGTCTCTGTATCTGTTTAAACACCGATTTTGTGGTTTCTCCGATTCAGCAGTGCCAAATTGCTTTTCACTAGCTTCACGATCGCAACGATCACGAATGTCCTGAAAATAGAAAAAAAAAAATTAATTCAATATTATAAAAAAATGCTCATTTAAGAAAAAAGTAAAACAACTAAAGAAACTGGAAAAATTATTTCATTCTAGTAATATATTTTTTTAGAGGTATCGCCTTTAGAGTACAACTCCACAACAAGCTTTTCGGGCGTTCGGCGCTTTTCAGGCTTTCATCAATAGCTGAATTGTGTAACTGAAAGCCTGAAAAGCGCGGAACGTCTGAAAAGCTAGTTGTGCAGTTATTCTAACACTTAAATTGGGTATGTAGTTTATTGGGCTTATGCAACCGTTACAAATCTAGTAAACGTCACTAGAGAAGACTAGTAGCTGGAGAAAAATAGAAAATTCTGCTTCCATCATTATCAGAGAGGCACGTCTCCACTCTACTGTAGCATTTTTCGACCTGCTTTTCATGGTATTCCTGGGCATAACAATTGAAGCTACCACTGCTTTAAGTTTGACTCAAGTTCCGATATTTTTAAAAGTGTGCATAACCTCTAAATTTAAGCAGTTGATAAATAACCCACAGCAGAAAGCACAAAAAGATCCAGGCCCTAGACGTTGTGCTGCACCCACGGTCAGCGAATCTTTTCAGAAATAGCTCAAGTATCTTTCCACCAATCTGAAACTAAGGCTAATTGCTTGCTTACTTCCGATATACTTCTTAAAGCAATTGCGTATTTATTCTGATAATTAAGCGGTGATAAAAGCATTAAGTTAATTGCTGATTTACTCAAAATTGGTCGGAGAATGCCTGAGCTCCTTCTGCTGTACAGCTTATTTGATTACTACACCACAGTGCTATTGCAAGAAACCAGAGAGCCAAACCCACAGCAGAAAGCACAAAAAGATCCATTGGCACGCGATTAACACTCTGTGCTAGTGAGATTTGTGTTTGTGTCCGTGAGAAACACAATAAAAGATAAGTGGAGGGGGTTATTTTCGATCTCTGCAAGAAACTAGCAAGGCTGATGAACTGGTGAGGCGAGACATACATACGTCAGGAGGTGTTGCCAAGCACCGTTGACTACTTGCAGAGGGCGTTGAAAGCGGACAAAGGAGCTCTTAAAACTAATCAAGTCTCGACTATTTTGTTGCTAAAGTCTAGTTAATTATATAATACATAACACCGTATAAATCCACTTGTCAAACTTTGTAGAGAAATTACAAATAAAAATTAAAAAAGCCAACTAAATTCTTGTAATTAGGTGCAAGTTTCAAGAGGTATTGACTTTTGATATATTTTTGTCCAAACATAAACGATCGAGTTTAACTTTGTAAAATTGGGGTTTTTTTATTCTACAGGTGAGTTCTATATCGATACCTGAGTGGAAGATCGACCTATCTCAGCAGCCAGTTCGAAAACGCCGTATTTCAGAAAAGTTTTCAAGAACGCCCTATTTCCGAATTCGATTCAAAAACGCCCTAAATGAGCGCCATATATATATATATATATATATTTTAAACCAAATTCTGAGATAGGGTGTTTTTCAATCAAATTCTGAAGTAGGGCGTTCTTGAATAGTTTTCTGAGATAGGGCCTTTTCGAACTGGCTGCCAGGATAGGTCGATCTTCCACTCAGGTGACGATATACAGTATCTACTCGCCGAATTATGACCGATATATGGTTATAAAAAATACCTAGTTTTCATTAAAAATTTGGTTTGAAATTTTGCTGTGAACTATTCAATCAAATTTTCCGGAATTTTTTGAGTACGCAGTTTTATAGCGCATTTAATTCTAGTAGTTTGCTAAAAAATTGCATTGATTTTTGATAATTTTTCTTCTATACGAAAAAAAAATCGAGTAGTATAAGTCACTTTCACCATGGTTTACGAATAAAAAATATATGTTTCTTTCAAGATAATTATATTTCAAATTATAAAACTAAATTTTGAATCCGACCGTTTGCGAAATTTTGTTCTTGACTCCATTTTGTACCCAAATGATATTGAAAGTTTTTCCGAAGATGAATTTTTTAAATTAATTTTTTTCAAACAATTTCGTATAAGATACATGTGAACATGATTCTATTCGATATTATTTTTTTTAGAACTTTAAATACAAACTACAAACTGCGAAATTCAACACTTTCGTAAAAATGTCTTTTTCAAAAATTTGATGCATTGCAATGTCATGTCAACTCAAACAAGGTGTTGTGCCATGGCATTCCATCCCAAACATACTGTTTTAGCATGTCGTTGCTACTTAGCTAAGCTGTTGTGCTTCTGTAGCATATTTTTAATACTGTTTGATCCTGCCTTGGATGAAAATATATACAGGTTTTTAATTAGACAATTCTTTAATGCATTTAACTATAATATACGCTTAAAAATTTTACAAAATCTCTTCCCGTATATAAAATGTAATTAATAATACACATGTATAGTTTTGATGCATGATTTGATTTCAATTATTCGACAGTGTCTTCATATGTTATTGTGAAACATGTATGGGCGACATAATATGAACTGGCACTTGCATGATGTGACACATGTCGCTATGTTTTATAGTTCAACATTTGCAGGTCTTTAATACAAACGTAAGAAACTGAAATTCAAATCATTCTTATTATTATTTTTTACATAAAAAATTGTTCTTAAGATTTAGACATAGGATTATTTTGAGTCAGCTTAAAATTTAGCGTCCTCGAAAACCTCTGTAAACCTGAATTCATATGACTGTGCCAAGGCATATCGAACAGGCATGAGAGCAAAAACAACATTAACGTGTATTTTGTTGTTGCTTCTGGTAACTAAGGTGTCAAAAAATAGTATATTTTTTTAAATATCATAGTGGGTGATGTAAAATATATAAACAAAATTTTTAATAAACAAAATTTAAAATTGGTGCGACTTTCTTTCTTTGTAAATTTGTTTCCAACGTTCCAAAGGCTGGTTTTTAATTGCTTTTTTGAAGATTCCCATGCAAATATATTTTTCAATATATATTTTCCCAATGGAGAATTATTTTCAAAAAAATTAACAATATTTGACAGTTTAGAGACAATTTTGACAGTTAGAAAAAATCAAATCAGCTGTTCTACTACTAGTACTTTGGAATATTTTTACTAATTTATTAACACTTCAAACTTGAAAATATTCGTAGGCACCTTTGCTCAATTCTTCTCATTTTTGTACAAGGTTAAAAGTTCGGATTTATATCGCTCTTTTTAGACGAATAATTTTGTCATATAGGGCCGTTAACTTCTCTATTTTAAAGTATAGTTGAATCATTACAACATTACATAATTACAGAAGTTTCCATGGAATTTTCTGTAATTAAGTTTAACTAATGATTTATGTAACTATACTTTAAAATAAATCAGTTAACGGAATAATTACCAGGAATTCCTTTAATTTATTGAAAAACTGTTTCAAAGAATAGATACTGTACGTAAAAATGTATTTTTTTTTTTCTTTTTAAATGAAGATAATGCAAAACGGATTTTTTCCCCGCAGTAATACCTATATACAGTTTTTTTGTGCGAAAAAAGATACGAGTGTTCGGCATACCAGTTTATTACCACAAAAGAAAAAAACGGAATTTCGGTTTCCCTTTCTATATATATAATACACGAAGGCATTTTTTGTCCAGGATATAAGATCTGCATCGTTCGTTCGATTTTCAAAAGTGAGGTGTCAAATTAAGGACACGGCATTTATAGATGAGCAATGTGGTTTTACTTTTTCGAAAACAGTTGCCACGTTTTAAAAAAATGTGTTGAAATTATTTAAGAACTTAAACCAAGTATTACAAAATGGGTATCAATCGAAATGGGTTTAAAAAGCTTTGTTTCTTAAATTTACTGTAGGAGGGGTGCGGGTGCCACCTGTTTAGAATATTAAATTAACTTTAAATTAAGGGAATTTGGTAATAAACATACATACATATGTATCACCATGTGTGCGCCAGATGAAACGATTTTAAGAAGGTAATACCTAGTTTGTTAATATTTTGAAGAGGGTTGCCACCAGTATGAAAACTAAAGATGTTTAAGAAAGAGGCCACCTGTTTAAAATGTTAAATTCAAATTATGTATTTAATAAGCTAAATAAATTATTAAAAAATTAGCATCAATCGAAATGCGTTTGACAAGGCTTTATTTCTGAACTATATTTAGAGGGTTGCCACACGTTTAAAAAATCAAATTCAATTTAAATCTTCAGTTAATTTAAATATGAACCGCAATGTCAGGCGAGTGTAATTGAAGAAGGTTATAGCTTTAAACCACGTTTGAAGAGAGTTGCCATATGCTTAAAAAGTAAAATTTAATTAACTTATACGAATATTATTTGAAATACGGGTGAAAAGCGAAAAATTGTTATGGCATCTTTAGTTTGAACACTATAAATATTTCTGAGGTGTTTGGAGAGGGTTGCCACCCGTTTAAAAAGTTAAATTAAAATTAATTTAAAGGCCAAGTGAATAATTAAAATATGGATATCAGTCGAAATGGGTTTGAAAAGGCTTTAATTCTAAAGTATGTTAAGGGGGTGGCCACATGTTTAAAAAATCAGATTCAACTTAATTCATCAGTTATTTCAAAATACTCATGACCATGCTAGGCGAGGGAAATTTAGGAATTTTTTAGCTTGAAAATACTTTTTACGAGGGTTGCCGCCTGTCTGAAAAGTCGAATTTGATTAACTTATATACAATTTACATGAAATATTAGAATACGGGTGTCAAACGATAGAGTTTTAATAAATCTTTAGTAGGAACAATTATAATGCTGTTGAAGGGATGCCACTTAAACACAAGTTTTATGAAAAATTAATGAATGAGTATATACGTATATTATACGAGCGGGAATTTTTTGTGCAGGTCATTAGATTTGCGCCGTTCTTTCCAATTTCCAGTATGAGAGGTGGCATAAAGACCTTGGGCTGTATATATGGGTAAAGATTAAATTTTTTGAAGTGGGATCTTTTTTTATCGGTACAGCGTGATTTCAAGTTTTGGGGTATTCCAATTCAAAATTGCC